TCTCTCTCTCTCTCTCTCTCTCTCTCCTCTCTCTCTCTCTCTCTCTCTCTCTCTCTCTCTCTCCTCTCTCTCACTCACTCTCACTCACTCACTCACTCACTCACTCACTCACTCACTCACTCACTCACCACTCACTCACTCACTCACTCACTCACTCACTCACTCACTCACTCACTCACTCACTCACCTCTCACTCACTCACTTCACTCACTCACTCACTCACTCACTCACTCACTCACTCACTCACTCACTCTTATATACAAATACACACACTAACTCATTCTCACTCTCACTCTCTATCTCTCTCTCTCTCTCTCTCTCACATGAGCACAAATATACACAGATGCATGCACACAGACAAAAACACGTCACATCTCACCCAGGATCAACTGGGTCTTGGGTCGTCTGCAATGTGATTGACTTCAGGCATTCTGCTTTACGGACAAACAACTCACAAAAGTGCAGAAAGTTGTAGATCTGTGGAAGTAATTACAATTCATAATTCTGGAATCTAAAAAATAAAAATCACTTACATGGGGTCTTACAAGGCTATAATAAAACAAGGAATAAAGGTGCCAACTTTCAAACTTATATTTTCTGCCTTTTACCTATATTATCAAATTTTCTTGTTTATACCAAATCATGAAAGGGAATATAATCCGTATTGTTCCTTGAGTTCAAAAGATTAACAACCCATAATAGATTCATTGTTTCTAAATGTTATGAACAGTGTTCATGCACGTCCAAACTTATAATAGCAATAAATATGTGCATTCAAATTGGATTTTTCAATGACAGTACATTCATAGTAGCACTGTCAATACTACTACTAACCTGGTGAGTTGACCGTATGTATGCGTCCACTACGACCACACTTGATAAAGTTTTGTCTATGAGAGGACTAAAAATAGTCTCATAACTGTAGCCTGTGTCACCATCTTCAATTTGAATCTGATAAAAATATAATGGTCAAATACAATAAGTGCATAAGCTAATAAATGCATTCAAATTCATTGTTCTAGGAATGTATATGCATGGTGACACTACCCATAATGACACTCAAGTCTTTAGTCATATAGTGTTGCATTAGAATCAAAATGCTACTCTGTCCAAATACTCACTTGTCTGTGGGTGCGTCCAATTTCTTTTTGTTTATTTACCGCCTCTTTCATTATTTCTGCTCGTTCCAGGTACTCTTCTGTCTTTTTCTTGAAGTGACTACGTTTTGTTTCATCTTTGACTTCTGCAAGGAGAAAAGTTATTGTCTTTTAGAATAACTTATAAGATTATTTTCATTCCAACTGTCTGTCAACTTTTGCATTTTCTTTTTCCACAGATTAAGCATATAAATATTCAAGAAATCAAAATTACTCAAGGCAAATACCAGACACTGAAATACCTTTAGCTGCTTGCAGGAGTAGTCTAATGCCTTGTTCATAGCATGCTAAAGCCTCAGCAAATTTCTTTTCCCCATCAAGCTGCACCGCACGAGTCAGTACCTGTATTGCTGCTGCTTCAGACCCTGACATTGTCCTTTACTTCTGAAATAATACTAACAATTAATTTCAATAAACCATCAACATTACCAAACATAAGATACAGTCTAGTGATAAATATCAAGCAACAACATTAACTACTTACTAGTTTCAAAGCTTAAAATAAAATGTGAATATCAAGAGCTTTATCAGTATTTGCATTATTCATACAAAAAGGATTAATACTACAAAAAAAAAAAAAACAGGGGCAGTAGGTTCAAGCCAATGCGGAGATATATATTAAAACTAAGATATTTTTTCTAAATTTCTTAATCTGGGGGTGATTTATCCATTCCCTAAGTATTGGGGGACAGTGGAAAAACTTATGCTAGTTCTGTCTTTTTTGCTATTAGGCCTAATGTCTAGTACATTTAATTGGTCTAACTCTTAACCAGTGCTTCAATCACAAATGTATCTGATATTTTTTAAGTCAATAGAATGTTACCTTTCCTTTCCCTTTCTAGTATGTTCATGGTCTATGACGTTCACAAAATATAATGCCACCAGGCGAATTATTTATGTAACAGCACTGTAATTTGATGGAACTGTTGCAAACTGGGTGTTGAAATGTAAGGTCTGTTTTCATTTTGTAATAGAAAGTTATTAATCAAGAGACGTCACATATATAAAGACCTGTAGGGATATAATTTCAGTTTAAAGGATTTGTTGCTTGTGTATTATCCCCTAAAAAATCCCATCAAAGGTGAACATACCTCAACCCCTGAAAATATTTCCCAATGCCAAAATATTCCGCTCCTCTACCTCAGGACGGGTTGCCAACACTCCAAATGGGACCAGTAGCCTGATAGACCTCGCAAGCCTCGTTCACTGACATGGGTTCTTCGCAGGGCATGTGGGGCTAGAACTGTCGTCTGAGGGAGGCCCGGGGGCAGGTGCCACAGGGGTGCAAGGCAGGTGCCACAGGAGGCGAATCGGCCGCGTCTCCTCAAAGGTCAACAGTTCCGTGTTTACATTTCGGGACCGGATTATTTCCCCATTGTGTAAAGTAGACGCGTCCAACATACCACCAAAAAGGGAATGACAAAGCTCTGAGATTTTAAATTATGGCAATTCCGTTCATATTCTGGTGAAAATGAAGAAAAACACCCGGACTATCGTTAAAATGATAAGAAATGGGAGAGAATCAAAAGCTCCGCTTCGCAACCCGAAATTACGATGACCCTAGTTGACGGCCGCCAGCAGGAGAATCGATTGCGATGATCTACTTAATATCACACTCTTTTTATCTCTAACTTCCTTCTGCATGTGTCCAGCGTCTCGACATGTCCTCCAAGGTGAGCTAGGAACACGCCAGCCACAAAAATAAATTCCCGCTGGTTGTACTTTAGAAGATAAAAGTGTGCGACTCAGGTGTTTTTGGGCTGTGGTTGGCTGTGTTTGGAGATGGGGGTTCCTGCGACGACCTTTTTGCTGCAAGAAATCTACGATGCCGCGGATTCTACGTGTGTGTAGAAAGTATTAAAGCATGAAAACGCTCTCTGATATCGTATCAGTTTCATATATAAAGTTTTGTGGTGATAACTCATGATTACTGGTGCATTTCGCCATGGAAGATTTCTCACTTTTTTAATGTGCGATTTTGATGTTTTTTTAAAAATGGTTGAGAAACATTTTAGGATAAATTAGTAGTAAATGACAAAGGAAAGCACAGTGAAGAAAATATATTGTATAGAAATATATTTGTCATCTTTACAATTCAATAATTACTTGTTGGTGATATCCTCATAGTTTAACCTATAGGTATAGAAGTTGAGATTCAGAGATTCTTATTGAAGATGTAACCAAGAGAAGTTGCATCAAATAAGTTCTTATGTATGATAATTAAACACGTACAAAATTAGGCAATTCATGTACCCCATCAAAAATAGGTGTAAGTGAAATCTGAGGATCACTATATAAAGAGAAGTCATAGGATAGGAAGCATTCAGGTTCATATCCAGTGATTGCCCACGTCATTTCAACCAAGATGTATGTCTCTGTGCAGACTAATTTGTCGGGAAGGTCTGTAAATAGGAAAGGTCTTTCTGTAAACCCTCACAAACTGTATGTTGTTTAACTTAGAAGAAACAGAATAGTATAAGGGATATTTAGGGTATAGAAGGCTGTACTATATATTTTAGTAATTAACTTGAATTAGCAGTATAAATATATTTTTACTAATTCATGACAGAAAAATGGAAAACTTCTTTGCCAAAAGATAAATCACAGACTTCTCACATAAAAGACTTAATGATTGTAGTGCTTAGACAAGTTTCTGTCGTCCTGAATATGTGTCGAATGTTGTGTCACATGGGGGGGGGGGTTTACAGGCAGTTGAAACATGTCACACAGTTGCATGATCTTGGTAGTTAACTGATGAACGATGATAAAGTTTAGTTTGGTCATTATATTTGTAAACTTCTGTTTTGATGGACATAAGTGAATTAACAAGACAGTATTAGGCTTTCGTATATGAGTTAGGTTTATGTATATGAGTTAACTGTCGTCATTGTATGTCCAGTTATCAGAGAAACCTCAACTCTTTCCATAGCTAAGAAACTGAAAAGTTTGTATACACTGGTCATGTTGCTGTCTGTTTATATACGCTGTGTTCTTAGTGTATAGTGACACCTGTCTTCAGTATAATAGTATTTAAAATGGGAACATGAAAATTTTGAGTGGTATGAAAACAACCTTTAGAGCGCTTATTGTATACAGTAAAGGTAAACATATCAATTTAAATGATGCAAGTGGAGGATGTATTATTTTGGAATGAAGCCCATTTATTAGTTTTTTGTTTTGCATTAGATATAGACTAAACAAAAAGAAATGATACCAAGCATAGAGCACAAGAAGTATTACGTAATAATTAGCATTGGCCAGATATTTCATTATTATTACGTAAGGAATAAAACGTTATACAAGTACATAGCTTCTAAATGGAAGAGATGTAAAATCCATGAGTGCACAATCACTCAGCTGGCTGTAATGTTTGTCACTGTGTAAAGTTTGATGATTGTTTGATTTTCTCGATTAATTGCAAGAAGCAAAGGTTATTTGTTTTATCTAAAGTGGTGACAGATATCTGCCTCAATGATAAGTGATTAGAATGGTAATGCTTTCACTGTGTTACAAATCCTCAGGATACTGTTTATATATAAGGTTTTATTTGTTACGCAACAGTATGAAATGTAACTAACCGATACAAACTGCAGTTTAATGATTATTGCACTGTGTGTTTTACCTCATGCATATAAGCTTCATCCACTGTATAGTGATAGAGGATGTAGGTATTTTTTTTTTTTTTTATTGATATTTTCAAATAGAAACAAATAAACAAACAAATTGCAAAATGGCTTTATTTGAAAAAAAATGTATTCTACCATTTTGGATTGATGCATGTTAATATTTTTGATATCATGTCTTCCAATTTCTATGTTTCCAATCAGCTGTTTTGCTTTGAAA